ACACCACTGAAGAGAAAGCAGCAGACCGCATAAAAAACCCCAAAACTCATCAATATGCTGTCTACAAGAAACACATCTGAAAGTGAAGACCAAAAATAAAAGGGAAAAAAACTACACCAAGCAAATGGCAACCAGAAAAAAAGCAGGAGTAGTGAAACTAATCTCTGATAAAATAGATTTCAGCATAAAAACCATCACAGGACAAAGAAGGTCACTAGATAATGTTTAAAGAGTTAAGAGAACAAGAGTATATAAACATAATAAAATAAATCTATGGACCAAATGACAGAGCTGCAAAATATACAAAGCAAACATTAACAAAAATGAAAAAGATACAGATAAAACCAAAATTGTAGTAGGAGACTTCAATACACTACTCTAAAGAAAAGACAGAACTACCAGAAAGAAACTCAACAAAGATACGCTGAAGAATTAAACCACACAATAAACCAACTTTCTCTCATAGACGTATACAGGCTAATGCACCCCTGCCCGGCCAAAAAAAGCTCAGGGTACGTTCTTCCCCAATGTGCATGGAACATTCTCCAGAAGAGATATTTTAGATCACAAAGCAACCATTAATAAATTAAAAAACACAGAAATAATACAAAGCATCTTCTCAGACGACAATGCTACAAAATTCAAAATTAACAGAATGGGACTGTCCTTGGGGTTGGGGAGAGACTGAGTAAGATGGGTTCAATAATGTATACTGCACTGAAACAGAGGAGGGAGAGAACCATTTAAGAGAGAGATATAACTGGGAATTTCTGTCATCACAGGAGACTAGAGCGAGGGCTACATGGTGGAGGGGACCTGGGGGAGGGTTTGTAAAACAATGAAAGAATCTTTTCTTTTACTTTTCCATAATTTTTGGACTCATGTACTTATAACTTGTTAGTCAAATTTGTGTCTTCTAGGTTGCAACACCCCCATGATACATCTTCAAGGATATGAACATGTATGGCCAAGCACAATCAATAAGAGTGCATCTAAATTCCAAAATCAATCTCCATAATAGTCTATGTGTTTCCTACTGCCAAAGGGGCCCTTTAGAGTAGTGAGAGAAGATCTTCACCCTGAAACCCACAGCGTCCCTTTTCAGCAGGAAGTAGCTAAGAGAATACGCCATCCCCTTTTCCTTATGACTCAGGGTGAAGTCTCTCTCAGGGAGGAGTGATAGGGAATGGCAAAGGACACACTGACAAAGAAGATTAATCAGAACTGGCTTTGACAAGCACTGTGGCATTTGGACAAGAACAAACTGGGAGGAGGGTAGAGAGAATAGTGCAACAATGAATGAGTGGAAGCCCAAAATCTCTGTAAATGTTTATGAAAATTAATAAAATATAATTATTTAAAAAAAAAACAAAAAAAAACCAGTAAGAGATAAAGGAGGAAAAAAACACAAAAACCCTTACATTTGGAAGCAGAACAACACCCTACTTGAACGTTAGATCTAAGAATACAATCAATAGTGCATTTGCTGGGTAACATTAAGTGTTCATTTAATATTTGTAACTCTAAGACCAGACAACTAGGTTTTAATGTTTTTATCCAGTAATGCTTACTAATGTTTATTTGCTCAATAGTAAGTGAAGAGTTGGGTTTAACTGAGATTGAGCCCTTTGACCAGTTAGTGGGGGAAATAAATGGTGATAGATTTAACTGAATATAAGAGAGCTGTCAATACATCCTCAATTTTTATGAGGTGTAAGGTTCTTAAAATAGCAGCACTAACTCTTCAGTGGAATGTTTGAAGTGTAGTTATACTGGTGACACTGATTTGATACTAATATAAGGGAGATAATTAAGAAAACATACCTAGAGTAAGGTGGAGATATAAAAACTTGGAGCCAACGAAATTAATAAAATAAAAATTGCTAACTCATGAAAAAGATCCAGAACTCGGCTTACCTTAATATAAAAATTAGAAAATGGAAATAGGAAATAGGTTTCACTGTCTACACATTAAAAGGAAACTTGTGAACAATATGCCCAACTGGAAGATGGTACACGTGAACATCTTCTTTAATATAGTAAGAAATGCACTATGAAGACAGAACAATGTAGCTCCTCACCCTATCTCCCATTTGCCTTGTCTTATTCTTAATATCAGGAGCTCTGGTGGTTAAGTGGTAAGAACCATCACTACTAACACAAAGGTACATGGTTCGAATTCACTAGCTGCTCTCCTGAAGAAAGACGAGCCTCAAAAACCTGTTGGAGGATCAGTTATGGGTTGGTTTTGACAATATTCAACATCATCTCAACATCAAGAAAACAAAAAATTCTCAGCACTGGGTCAACAGATAACATAATGACAGAATGAGAAAAGATTGAAATTGTCAACCATTTCCTCTTACTTGAATCCACAATCAGCACCTTTGGCACTATCAGGCGGGAGGTCAGGAGACATATTGCATTGACAAAATCTTTGTCAGGGGCTCTCTTAAGTCCTGAAGATGTCAGTTTAAAACTAAGGAGTATTTGATTCATACTATGGTCTTTCTAATCACGTGTTGTGCACCTGAGAGCTAGAAAATAAATAATGACAGAACAATCAATGCCTTTGAGTTGTGGTGTTGAAGAAGATAGTCAATATCCTATAGACTTCAAAAAGAATAAATAGATCTTTGTTGGAGAAAGTATGTAGAGAGTACTCCTTTGAGGCAAGGATGGTGGAGCTTCATTTCACATACTTTGGGCATGTTGATAGAAATTATTCTTTGGAAAGAGACATCACGCTTGGAAAGATGGAGAGTCAGCAAGAGAGGAAACCCCTCAATGAGATGGACTGATACAGTGACAGTGGTAAATGGCTCAAGTATATCAGACATGATGAGGACAGGATAGGAGAGCATTCAGAAGTGTTGTTCATCGGGTTGCTGTGAGTTGTAACCGACTCAATAGTATCTAACAAAAATATGACTACACATTCAAATATTTGTGCTTAAAGGCTGCTAGCTGTTCAAAATGCTTCTATGAGTAAATAAAACAATGGGGGAGGAGGGGGAAGTACTGCTTAAGAATAGGAAGCACTAAGAATTTTCAGTCAAGACTTACCCAAGATAACTATCTATGTATCCACTTCTTTGGCCTAGGTTCTTCATACAACTTATAGGTCTTTATCTCACTTCCTTCATATATCTAGTACCTTCTAAGAGAAATTGTTTTTGTTGTTCTGTAAGGTGTAGTAGGAACCAACTCAGAGTTGACCCTCCAGCAAGTTTTCACTGGCAGTTAAATGCAAGGGAGGAGACTGCCCACCTTTGTCCCAGTGGAGCAGCTGGTGGATTTGATCTTCATATCTATAGGTTGGCAATCCAATTCCTTATAAACAAGCCACCAAGAAAGATTAAAAACCAAACTCACTGCTGATGAAGCAATTCCAACTTACAGAGGCCATCCATTACATTTGCAAAGCTGTAAATCTTATTGGGAAGAGAAAACCTCATCTTTCTCCTGTGGAGTGGCTGGTGGGTACAAACAGCCAACTTTCTGGTTAGCAGGAACCATTGAAAAAATAACTAAACAAATAAACAAACCAAATCACAACCAACTCGACAAAACAAAAAACTAATGATGCTTTAAGATCAAGTATGCAATGATAAAGGTGGTTTTCACTTTTACAATAGAAGGGAAGGTTAAAGTGAAGAAAATTTCTAATCTTACTCTTTTTTATAAGCGCTAAAGAGTTGCAATACCAATTCAAAGGCATGTAGTTAAAATTCAGCAGCGGATCCATGAGAGAAAGCTGGGCAGTCTCCTTCTGTGCAATTTAGTCTTGAAAACCTGCTCAGTTTCTCTACCTAAGGGTACCTAAAATACAACAATCAGTGTTTAGTAAAAATTAAGTAAGTAAACTCTTATTTATCTCCTTTAGGGCTCATATGGCCCTTAAATCCAATATGCTAAACTTCTAATTCTGTAAAATGGACTGTCTACAATAACTACACCAAAACAAACTCCTAGACATTGAGTCCATGCTGACCCACAGCAGTTCTCCATAGGTATGTTAGGAACTAAACCGCCACAGCTCCTTACTTAGCTCTATGACAGTCTCTTCTAATGATACCACCTCTTTGCTGCTAAAAGTGTTTGCTGGTAAGAATTTTCCCAAGTGGTGAGCCATATTGTTAATACTTTTTTTTTTAGGGTAAAGGGAGAGGAGGTAAGATTTCCTTATCTACAGACTTTATTGTTAATTATATTTAGGATTTTAAACAAAGGCAACATACATTTTTAATTCGAATCTTAATATTTAGAGCCAAATATTAAGATGGTGTCTAACTATTTCTTCTTGAACCCAGAAATGATTAAAACTCATTTCATGTATTTTTGAAATAAGCAAGTACAAAAAGTCTATTTAGTAAGTAAAGTTAAAGATCTGTCAGAAAATCTAAGATCTCAGAGGCAGAATTTTATTTCAAATGTAATAAATATTATGGTCACATATTAATTATTGAATTACAATGCAAGAAATGTTTAAAAAAATCTTATAAAAATGGAATTATTTCACTTAGCCGGGACACATTTTTCATAACTATATCTCTTCTACTGATGCAATGTAATACCCATTAATTCTTAAGTAGTAATAAAATTTAAAGTCTAAGAAAAAACACTAATCAAATTATTTCAATTAAATGTTATATAGCCATCTAGAAAAGAATTGTTACTGAGATATATGCTAAGCAATACAGTTGTGAATCATTTTAAATACTAACATTCACCCAGGTTCACCCTAACACTTAGGAAAAAAAATTACATGCCTATTTTGTTCAAGCTACAAACTGGCAATAAATTCTCTACAATAATTAAAAAAATATGGGTTCCTGATAGCTAACATCTTGTTAACAAAGCAAAAGTATTAAAGTGAATTGATGATCTATTTTGATCATTTCCAAATAAAAAGCCACTAACAATTCATTACAGAATTTCTGTATACATTGAAGACATAATTATGGAGAAAAATATTTGGAAAAAAATCACTGATTCAATGAACATTTTATCATTTTATTTACAAAATATAAGCAAATTTTACATCCCTCACTATTAAAACTTTTCCCTTCAAATAAGTTCATGTGGAGGACCATGAGATGTATCAATTATAAAATATATTGAAACGAAAACATATTTCAAATGTACAAATACAAACCAGTACTTTATACAAGAATTCTTTACAAAGTTTATCAGTCTGTGTAAAAATATTTTGCTTTAGCTGAATGTAAGGCTTGTTTAATTACTGGCATGTGGAGTTATTTTTGCTTTGTTGGAGACTTTTCTCTTCGACGGTCCTGACTTTTCTTTGATTCTCTGGATTGGTCAGAGTAGCTAGTAGACTTTTCCCAACGCCTTTCAGCACCATTCTGATACCTATTTTCACTGCTTCTAGAGCCTGAATGTTTGCTGTTCCTTTCTCTTGACTTTGATCTATCTTTTCTTCTCAAATTTTCACTATCCTTATTTCGATGCCTGTGCTTCTCATTTTCAGAAAAAGAGTTTCTCCTTTCTTCCCTTTTCTTTTTGGCATCACCATGCTTATTTTCTAAATCTATGTGCACTTCTTGGTCTCTGTCATTCACAACCCTCCTGTAACTGTTTCGTTCTGAAGGAACACCTCTGTCGGAAGTGTATTTTGTACTGGCATCTCTCCAATCGGCATCTCCTGAATTTTGATCTCTGTGCTTTTCTGATCTTCTTTCTCTCTCGGTCCTTGTTTCCTGGTGCCTGTGTTCTGGTCTTCTTTCTTCATGTCGTCTATCATTTGTTTGATGTTTCCTACTCACTTTATCTCCTCCTTTATTTCTGGTTCTTCCTTGTACCTTCTTTCTTACCTTTTTAGCTGTGTGTATAAAATGAAATATAGTTAGCTTTTATTTTAATCTTAACTCCTTAATCATATTTACTTACATATTATAGGTTTATTAACCCTGACAAATTTGATAGAGTTCTATTTATTGAATGCAAAGTCTAGTAACATTTTACAAAACACATGATTTTTACAAATACATATTATCATTATTTATCAAAAATACTATGCTGATCCAAGACAATGAACAGAAACTTTAACTACAGCAAATGTTAATAAAACCTTTTATAGAAGAAACAACAGTCAACAGTGCATTTGTACTCATAAATTTTATAAAAAAATGGAAATTCTAGTCCATTGTGCATTATGTCCTAAGGAATATCCTGTCAGAACTGCTACACAATTAAAATTCAATGATTATACCCACTTAAAACATGACTTACTAAAAGGTAGGTGGAAAAGAATGATTAGATTTGTTTAACCTCATGTACAAATATTTTTCAAATAAAAACAACTTCCTATGAAAATACCAGTTCTGCTGTTCAGTGTTACCAGAGACGTACTAACTGCACCAATGGAAAAAAGCTGTATTAAGACATAAAATCATATGATTTTATGAGACCAATTAATGCTTGCGTTTCTGAGAAAGCTTTTCTCAAAGAACCATCAACAATTTTACTCTTATAAAGAAAAAATTATAGTACTATGTTATGCAATTTGAGTACATAAAGCAAAGGTATTGTGATGATCAAAATTTCCGTCAAATTCCTAATTATACAAATATAGTAGAAAGCTGCCTACCCTCGTCCTACCTCATCTCACTGTGCCGATTTCTATCTCTACTTCTAAATGCTTACCCCTGGCACATGGAAGACTCAGCTGGTTTGCCACTAAGAGCTTACTTCTCTGTTTCCTATCAAATAGCTCAACTAAGTTGTAGCTACCCAAGCAGATACCATCTGGCCCTGTGCTAAACCAGCATCTATCTCATGAATTCTAATTTACACCACTTCCAGTGGCTGATTGATAGGAAAATTGTAACCATATACTCTGATTCCCTCTCATTTTGTTGAGTATGCTCTACAATTTTCTAATTTGAAGGCAGTTCCTACTGCTTTCATGCTATATTTAATATTTTATTAGTAAAATAAACACCTTCTACTTAAACTGCATGGAAAGGCAAATTAATTTTGAATCAGCAAGCTTCCTTACTGTAGCAATTCATGCTGTGTTATCATCTGTTCTCAAAACAGATACTATGAAATAACAAACTCTTTAGAATTAAAAGAGGTGAGTGTCAAGTGAACCCTTTTAATTCAAAAGTAAGATTTCCTATAAGTAAATGGAATCTTGCTTTGATAACATAAAATTATTTCAAGTCTTCCACATTAAATATCCATCAATGTCACAAACTAGAGAACAATGATTAGCTAAAGCTGTAGGCAGAGTGCTTCCTGTCTCAAATCTGGAATAAAAAAAAAACCACAAAAAACAAAAACAGCATAAAGTAATAATACATCCTCAAGACAGACTTCAGATGCTGTAACGAAAGCACAGCCCATCTTGAGAAAAACAATATGGACTTTTCCAGAAGATGTCCGCTAAAATCAAACTACAAAATGGCATATTTTAAAAAATACTGAAGATGTTAATGGCAAACCTATTGAAAATTACTGAAATATTGTCCCTATTGAAAATTTTTCTATCTTGATTAAAGGCATTGAAGAACTAAAATAATCTGTGGATAAATGAGTGACTCTACTAATAATAAATAATCTAAATAGGGAAATGTTTATAATATATAAATTGATAAAGTTAAAACTGGGAAACTTAATCTGTGGAAATAGAAATAAGAATGGCAGTAGAGATACAAGGTGATGGATGAGTAGTAAATAATTGAGAGGGGACAAAAAAGAGCTTTGAGGGTACTAGAATTTTTTGATCTGTGCTAGCAGGTACATGAATGTACATGAATGTGTTCTCATTATGAAAATCTGTATGTTACTGTTGTGTACTGTTTAATGAACTGACCCAGAGCTGCCCTTCCAGAGTTTTCAGAAGCAGGAAATCACACATGAGGAGACTGCTCATCTTCCTCTGTGCAGCAGGTGGTGGATTTGAACCACGTGCCCTTGGGCTGGCAGCATAGCTCCTATCTATTTACTTAGATATAAGGTGTATATCTTACCACCTACAAGGTGTACAGTGAATTTCTGGCATATGTCAATTACTAACACTGAAACTTTGTTACTAAAGAAAAATTTAAACTTTGTTAAAATAGAAATGTCAGGAACACTGCTATAAATAAGACTACAACCTTAAATGATGCTTTAGTCATCATTCAGATAAATACTTGTCAATGAAATATTTCATGTCTGTGAAAGATTAAAATAAAAAAATCTTAGCACAATATATGTTACAGCATAATACAGACAGCATTTGAGTGTTTAACCACTACGTCAACAGGGTACCTCTACTAAGGGCTGTAACAGCGCTAATCACGAAAACGATTAATTATGGCTTTTCAACAACTGAATACTGAAATAACTAAGCAACCAAATTATTTTCTTTCTTTACTGCAAACAAGGAAATCTAATGGCACAGTCCGTGGCGAGTTGTGCTAACACAGAGAATGAGCATCTCTGGCAGTTTGGATCCACTTGTGCCTCACCAGGAAACAGATGGGTGATCTCCCCTCATTCTGATGTGTAGCCTTGGAAACCTGCTGGAGGGAAGGTCTGAGTTGAACCTAATCGCTGACAGCGTGCTTCCTGCGTTATTACAGAGATCATCTATAATGTACTTGTTTGATAACTGAGTTTCAGTACCTGAGGCTGAGCTATGACTGCTGGTAGACGACGAATCACTCTCTTCACTGGAAGAGTCTGAACTGCTATCGCTGCTGTCAGACTCAGAATCTGAGGAGTCTGATTCTGAGGAAGAAGATGAGGAAGAGGAAGGAGAAGATTTATTTGAGTCAACGTCCGGTTTCTGTGCCACGATGACCTTTGGTGTATTTTTGAGATGTTCTCGCAACTCATCCCTAATTAGAAAGATAATGTTAAGACTCTGCTTTACAAGCAACTGTAAGGTTATTTTGTAAATTGAAAATAAAAAGATTCTGAAAATAATCCTTACGTTAAGCCTCCAAGACCAATAGAAGTAAAAAAGTTGATGGCAAATCGAGTGTTTCTTGGATTATCCCGTGGTAATAATCCTTCAAAGAATGGCTGTAGAGTCCTACAAAGAAAAAATGAATAAAAAAGAAATTCCCTGCAGTCATTTTTCAAATTTTTCTATAGCAGCCAGGAAATCAGGAGACAAACTGCATTGGGAAAGTCAGCTGTGAGGGACCTCTCCTGAAGTGCAACGACGTCAGGCTGGAGACTAAGGTGCGCCTTATCCAGACTATAGTCTTTGCAATTATGTGCTATGCATCAGAGATTTGGACAGTGAATCGGGATGATAAAAAGAGAATTGATGCCTTTGAGTTGTGGTGCTAGAGAAGAGTGTTGAATATACCATGGAATGCTAGAAGAACAAACACGTTTGTCCTGGAGAGGGTGAAGCCAGAATATTCCCTGGTGTCAAAGATTCTGAAGCTTCGTCTGACATACTTTGGGCATGTTGCAAGCAGGGACTGGTCCTTGGAGAGGGACATCATGTTTGGGAGAGTGGAGGGACAGTGCAGGAGAGGAAGACCCTGAATGAGATGGATCAATTCTGTGATTGGGGTAGTGGCAATGAGTGTGCTTGAGACAGCGAGGTTGGCACAGAATAGAAGAGGATTTAGGGCTCTTGTACATAGGGTCGCTATGAGTCACAAAAGACTCGATGACACATAACAAAAACAACAATAACATATAAATTAGTAAATGAAATACAACCAAGTGGTTTATGCCTTTAACTAGGTTAGGCTACATAGTATTTGAATGAAATGAGTAAAATCAAGTCCTAATTTTTAATACATCCGTAAATGCACCTGTATTCATACGAGTAGATACCTATAGTGTGTATGTATGAATGTATACAGAGGAGCTTAAAAAATAATCACCAAAACATCTAAAACATGGATGGAGCCTATATATATAATCAGATGCTTTTCGGAAAGGGACAAAAACATGGAAAAATGTTCAAATATAGTGTTGTTTTGGAAATGTAGTGACTGACATCACTGAGTGACGGAGGGACAGAGCCAGAGAAAACCAGCATGATGACAATCCTAGCAGGAAAAACTTTTACAGCTTCGGACAGACTCATTTCTGTAAGAGAGAGAGCGAGTGAGAGTGCGTCTGTAAGGGGTAGGGGAGAGAAACTATGATGAAAAGCAAGAAGAAAAAGTGTTTCATGATAAACTTACTCATCCTTTAATCTTGCATTAAGTTTAGGAAGACCCATGTATTCACAAAGTTCCTGGAAAAATATTTTGACAAAAATTCTACTGGATGATGTAGTTGTTTCTTCACTTAGCTTTATACATTCAAGTACCTAAAAATTAAAATATAAAAAAATGCTTTATTTTGATTTTCAAAAGTTAAGGCAAAGTCTCTTGAAATCATGATTTATTCTCATCTGCAAATGGAGTGTCTATTTGTAAGTTTTCCATACAGTAATCTGTAACATATCTTACTTAGTTTACTTAGAAGCTCTTGTGGGACAGTATGCATAAGTCTGTGTTGGTAACCAAAACATTCTACCTCTTTGGCTCTTCCAGCAGCTCTCCGGGAGAAAAATGGGCAATCTCCTTATAACCTTGGAAACTCAATGGAATGTTGCTACTGAATCAATAGTAATGGGCTTGAGATTGACAGGAAAAGTTTATTCTCTTGCAAAAGGAATGTACTTGAATAGCATGGAGGATGTTGTGTCTTGTACATATAATACTGATGTTTATAACATTAATTCCTAAACCTCATTCACTAAAATGGGGTGTGAGAGTTTGGAACAAACCACCTTTTAGAACATTATAGTTTTATATATAAAAATAATGCACAGCAAGGAGCCGGTGGGGAGAGGAATGGCTTATTCTAAAAAGTAAGGCTAGGGCTCAAAAACTGAAGCCTGTAGAGAGATGTTTAAAGGCGAACACAAATAGAAGCAACATCCTGTTTTTATAGGTTATGTGTTTCAGGAACCTATTTGTTGGCCAAATATTAAAACAATTTCATATTCCCAAGGTGAAGGAATAAAATTATTACAACAGGGCTTCTGGGTCAGTTTATAATGCCAATTAACGTGACGGGAAAAGAACTCTGGTGGCCCAACACTAAGAAGCTGCACGGCAATTCCAAAGGCATGTGGTTTGAATCCATCATCTAATCCACAGGACAAAGATGAACAATCTCATCCTGTGAGATTTACTGCCTTTGAAAACCCGCTGGAGGACCAGCAATGAAGTGGTGCTGACTCATGGCACACAACAATAACAGTGTAACTGGACAAAGTAATTAGGGTGCTGAAAAAAAATCTATCCAATGCTTATTAACTCACGGCAGGCACTGCTTTGTTCTGCCACTGTTGTGTGCTATCTAGTCGATGATATTCTAGAGTGTGATCCTTTCTTCCTGGATGTTAACTGCCTCTTCTGAACTTCTTTCTTCAGCAACTTTACTTTTTTCATAACTTACTCTTTTATTTTCTACCATTGCTATTCTTGGATACATCTCACCTCTTCTCTTGTATTTACCTCACTGAAAACAGGGATCATAATTTAATTCACTCTGCATCCCCAAAACCTGTCCAATTGGCACATAAAGGGTGAACAGGTATTGTATAGTACATGCCTGAATAGTGTTTTAATAAAAATAATAAATTTTTAAAAATAATACATTTTAATACAGTGCTTATTTCCTATCAAGAATTAACCTCAGGGCACTCTGGTGGCCTAGTGGCAAGAATCTGCATGTCAACCAAACGTGCCAGCTGGATCTGATTTGATAGTACACAATAAGAAGGAAAAAAAAACACCAGAAACGAATTAACATCCCTATAAGATAACTCAAGGAACAAAGGACATTACTACCCCAGGAAACACAAGTAGTAACTCTAAGAAGTATGTACCATCAAAACAATGGCATACGTGGATGTGAGCACTGGCTCACATAGATGGTTACATTAAACCTAACACCCAGCTGTAAGTAAGGGATTAGAAAGGAAATAAAAGTTTCAAAAGATACACTTACACTCCATGGAAGTGAATCAGTATATAAAAGATGAGCAAACATCTTGGCAACATTTCTTAATTTGTTTGTTTCTAAACGATGAATGGTATCATACTGTTCTTTGAATATACTTTCAAAGGATTCCATGTATTCTTTTTTGAGCATGCAAAAGCGCTAAAAGAAAAAGACACGTGAATGTCAGTAAGGTTATAAATATATTAAAACCTTCTAAATTTACTAAAGCAGAAGTGAATAGAAATTTAGTCCTATAAAACGACTAAATTTGTGTCTGATATACATATAGTCTGGAGAACAACCACCTGGCCTACTGACTGACAGAGATCTGTATTTGTTCCCATCCCAAAGGAGGGTGACCCAACAGAGTGTGGAAACTATAGAACAGTATCATTGATTTCACATGCAAGCAAGATTCAACTGAAGATTATCCAAAAATGACTGGAACAACACATCAGCAGAGAACTATCCGAAGTCCAGGCTGGGTTTAGAAGGGGTCATGGTACTAGTGATATTGTAGCTAATGTTAGATGGATCTTAGCTGACAGCAGAGAATACCAGAGGAATGTCTATCTGTGTTTCATTGATTATGGAAAGGCATTTGACTGTGTGGATCATAACAGTGGCTGACTCTGAGAAGAATGGGAATCCCAGAACACTTGACCATTCTAATGCGAAACCTATACTTGGACCAGGAGTTAGTCGTCAGAACAGAGCAGGGGAACACTGCATGGTTCAAAATTGCGAAGGGCGTACGCCAGGGATACATCCTATCTCCATACCTTTTCAACCTGTATGCAGAACAGATTATCCGGGAGGCTGGGCTCTATGAGGGGTCAAGATAGGTGGATGATCTATCAACAATCTGCATTATGCAGATGACACAACCCTGCTTACTGAAACTGAGGAGGACCAGAAGCACCTGCTGCAGAGGGTCAAGGACTGCAGCCTCCAATATGGATTGAGGCTCAATGTCGAGAAGACAAAGATTCTCACCACTGGGCCAATTGGGAGCATCAGGACGGATGGTGAAGAGATTGAGATTAACAACTTCAGTTTGCCTGGCTCCACAGTCAACACTGTAGGCATCAGTAGCCAGGAAATTAGAAGATGTATTGCCATGGGAATGTGTGCTGTCAGGGACCTCTCCAAAGTGCTGAAGAGCAATGGTGTCTACGTGGAGACTGAGGTGCGTCTGATATAGGCCATGGTCTTTGCTATTACTTGTTATGCATCAGAGAGTTGGACAATGACCAAGGAGGATAGAAGTGATGCCTTTGAGCTGTGGTGCTGGAGAAGAGTATTGAGGGTACCATGGACTAGGAAAACAAACAGATTCATCCTGCAAAGTGTCAAACCGGGCTGTTCCCTGGAAGCAAGGATTCTGAGGCTACACATAACATACTTTGGACATGTTGCAAGGAGAGACAGGTCCTTGGAGAGGGACATCATGCTTGGTAGGGTGGAGGGACAGTGTAGAAGGGGAAGACCCCCTATGAGATGGATTGATTCAGTGGTTGGGGTAATTGGGATGGGTGTACCGGAGACGGTGCGATTGGCACAGGACAGAGCAGAGTTTACGGCTGTTATACATAGGGTCGCTATGAGTCGCAAGCGACTCGACGGCACACAACAACATATTTATATAACGGGACGCTCGAAAAAGGAGTGAATACATCCTGTCCCTATTTACCTAGGACTGATAAACTAAAGTTACGCATGTAGCTGATCACAGATACACATATATTGCATCTTTATACAGACTTTTATCCAGGGGACAGAGTTTGAACTTATAAATGTGTACTTGACTTTAAGAACACTTTGAGATTCTGAAAAAGAGTGTTTAATTGTTTCTTATTAAAAAAGATACTGTTATAAAACATGTAAAATTTTTTTAAAGTTCAGGAACAAAGATAGGCAAAGTTCAGACACTGCAAAAATTTTTCTCAAGAGGGGGAATATGACGAGAGAAAGGAACAAGTTGCTCTTAGTAAAGTTAGCCTCTTAAATGAGATCAGACCCCAAGGAAGAAACAGTAATTGTCAAAGTTCAGGTTAAAAATTCCTTTAGTGTTCTGGTGTGAAAAAGGCGGCTAGAACTCACCCCAGCTAATAAGCCAAAAAATTTTTCATACGTCCTTTGTTGCGCACAGCAATCAAGTATCATATTGCAGAGTTCTTTCTATTTGGACAAAAATAATTGCATTAATGATTAAAAACAATGAATCTAAGCTGCATGATAATTTACCAATATGAAACAGACTAATAATGTTTTTAAAAATACACAAAATTTGCTTAAACCTTCTTAAAGCCTTCTGTTTAGCTGACAGCAGTGACAGCAATTTACAGTAATGAAACTGATTTCAAAACTCTGAATTTGTATAACATGAACTATTTCATAAAACAAACACATGGAGTGAAAAACCAGATATATCACTTAAAAGATTAACAGACCATATTCTAAAATAATTCTATGCAGAATTATTTAAATATACACTCAGCAACACAATATTTTATTATTCAGTTTAAGTATTTCCCAGAAATGTGGTGATTCAGTTAGGATAAAATAGTATAGACAAGAGAAATATAATGAATCTCAAAGATGAGTAAATACGTACAATTTCAATGCTAACTTAAAAAAATTTCTAATGATAAAATAAAAAAATGTTTTAAAAAGGAACAAAAATAAATTCTACTGCAGCTAAATTTTCTAGCTTCAAAATAAATGCAGAAAACTCTCTCCTTGGAATACAAATCAATGGAACCATTTAATAACTGGTAGCATAATATATTGTCCAGTAAGACTATTAAGTGACTGAATAACACTTCTGTAAAAATCTTGGGGAACTAAAAACTGAATTAATAAATCTCTGGCTAGGAAATATCAATGTCATAACAAATTAGAAATTTATAAAGAAAAATATTATTTAATAGATAATTGTGGAAATAACAGTAACACATATATAATTAGGACACATTAAAAGCTATTTGAGACTAAAATACTTAGCCAATATGGACAAAATGAAGGCATAAATTTATTATTTGACCACCATTATAAAATATAAACTGCAAATGTATGCTTTTAGACATAGGAAGTAACTATATGTAAATAAAATGTACAGCATATTTATGAATTTTTAACATTTTCATTCTCAGTTAATATTTCTGACAATGTCACATTTAATAATACAGGATGTAACTTCCAGTACAAATGTCAATCTAAAAAATCAGGTTATCTCTAAGCAGACAATGTGTGTTAGATACTACAGGAGGCGAGTCAGGCAAGGGAGAAAAGGAGGTCCCTGGAGCACAGAACAGACATTCTACAATCAGCTTCTCCAACATGGTGGGCCCCACCTGCTTATCATTATTTAAATTCAAATTACATAAGATTTAAAATTTTTATTGCATAATCACAGTATCTCTATGTGTTTAAACAGTCGCACACGTTGATAATGGCTAATGAATGACACAGTGGCAAAAAATATTATCATTCCATTCTACTGGGTAAAAAATTCTACAGCGTGCCTGTTAGAAACCAATCATCTACTCATACTACTCAACATTCTTACTTCATAATATAGGCTTATTTTAAAATATTATTACTATTTAAAAATTAGTAAAAAAAACCCTTAATAAAGTTAAATGTTTACAAATTCTGAAAAGATAGTACGTATTCTGTAAAAGTTTAGACAATATTATACAGAAGAATTAAAATGAGACTTTTCTGAACTCTGCTATATTATTCTAAATGGATATGCTGAAATGCATTTCCACATATTCTACCAAACATGAGTTTTAAAATAATACAGCAATTAATCAGATTTTAAAACATGGTAATACGCTGGCAGTACTGCTAATAAAGACAATCTTTTGCAAGTAAATTTCTTTCCCAGGCTAACTACAGTTATTCTCTATAGGACACAAAAATTAAATATTTTAACATTTTAATTGCATGTTACAATGATTTTAGGAGAATTATCTATCATAAAAATAGATACACCAACATACTTCCCAAATGCTACAAAAACATGTTAAGGTTATGTCTAGAATAATTATCTCCTGTATTAATAGTAACAGAATCGATAATGAATTCTTTATATCCTATAAATAATGTGAACAGACAATGCAGAAATTTGCACTGCAATTTTAATTTTAAAGAATTACTTACTTTCTTCCAGTGAATGTATATCAAGTGAAGTTTACAGATAAGGAAGTATTTTATTATCTCTCCTTCCATCAAGTTGGAATTGATTTACAGCTGACCGTCCATTAGGTCTCTAAGACTGTAAATCATGCGGGAGGAGACTGCCCAACTTTCTCCCACAGAGCCACTCAAGTACTCTAATAGCCAGAGAGGTGCTGCATTTGGGTTACTAGTGCAACTCCTTAAGTACTATGCACCAGAGCGCCTATTTTATTGTTGTTGTTGTTTTGTACCTTTAAGGTGGAAGTGACACAGCTGACCCTCCAGCAGGTTTGCAGGGACAATAACTGCACAGAAGATTGTACATTCTGATTGAAACCTCATGGCTTCAGGTTGGCAGCACCGGTCCTTACAACTAGAGCACCAGAGTTTCCTATTTTATTAGTAGTACACCAGTAAGCAAACTTCAAAAGTGAAAAATTCTTAAAATTAAAAAAAAAAACAAAAAAACCCTGTTTCTAATTCTCAACCAACATATTTCAAGAATGAATCTATATTAAAGAATAAAGGTCAGCAAATTTTAAATTTTTTTTTCTCCTTTGTTAAGGACCAGACAGTAAATATTTTGTACTTCACAGACATTCCAGTCTGTTAGACACTACTCAGCTCTGCTACTGTAAGTTAAAGCAAGACACAGACAAGATAAAAATGAGTAAGCATGGCTTTGTTCAAATAAAACTGTCTTTTCAAAACCAGGAAGTTGGTCTGCGTTTTAAGACAATATCAGATCATATTAAGTCCTTAAAACAAACAACTTATACCTGTTAGTAACTCTGCATTCTCATATATTTTTGTACAAGGTTGGTATCCTAACTTGATTTGTGCCACTGTTAGAACCTCTACTTGGAATATTATTGCTTTTAAATTTTGACTCATGTACTTTTGACTTGTTAGCTAAATTTGTGTCTTCTAGGCTGCAACAGTTCCATGATACATCTTCAAGGATATGAACATGTATGACTAAGCACAATTGATAACAGCGCATCTAAATTTCAGAATCAATCTCCACGCCAGTCTACATGTTTCCTATTGCCAAAGTGGCCCTTTAGAGTAGTGAGAGAAGATCTTCACCCTGAAACCTACAGCGTCCCTTTTCAGCAGGAAGTAGTTAAGAGAATACACTGTCCCCTTTTCCCTATGAATCAGGGTGAAATCACTCTTAGGGAAGAGTGATAGGGAATGGAAAAGGACACACTGACAAAGGAGATTAATCAAAATTGGTTGTGGCAATGGGACAACTAAAACAGACTTTCAAGGGAACGAACTGGGGAGGGTAGAGAAAACAGTGCAACAATGAATGAATGGAAATCGAAAATCTCTGTAAATGTTCATTAAAATTAATAAAATTTAATAAAAAGGGCGGGGGAAGAGCTGGTATCCAAAGTCCTATTGAAACAAATACATCCAATTTAAAATCTGTGCTGTATCTACCACCTAAAATATGTGAAAAACGTTAACTCCTGAGGCCTTTATTCAGGCTCCAGAAAACGAAAACATATTTGAGAAGAGAATAATATATCTAAGAAAACAACTGGAAAGAAAAGTTAATCTATGTGATAGCATCTGTATTGTCACTGGCATTTCCTTCATGTCATGTCCTCTAAGTGAGGCGGAGACAGTCAGTGGATATTCATACTCAGAAAGATGGATGGGCAAGAGAGGGAGAAGATGCATGAGATGGACTGACACAGAGACAGCAGGAATGGGTTTAAGGACAGTGGAGAAGGGGAGGAAGGTTCAAGGTCGGGTAAGGTTTCAGTCAGTGGAGAGGGAAGGTGGAGGGAGGAGTAAGGCTTCAATCTGTTGTTCCAAGGATCAATGGGTCAATGGACTTGATGATATCCAACAGCAACAACACTTAATTTAGTCTTTACTTTCCTTGGTATTAGGGTTCTACAACATTTGAGCTAGAACACTATGGGGCTAAAAGTTGTCATGCGTACCCTAAGGATCACTGACTACCTGACAGCTCCAAGACTAACTGACACATGTTGTTGCTGTTAAGTGCCATCAAGTCTAAATGACTCATAGTGATCCTATGAATGGAAGACCTGAACACCTGTATAACTTTTATTGTTTCTCTTAGTTCATAGAGTTTCTGGAGGCAAGCTATTTTGGAAGTGGATGTCACTCCTGCTTCCAATTCTGTTTTAATCTGGGAGCTCCACCAAACACACTGTCCGCCATGGGTAACCATTATCACAACTGACACATCAGCTTTCAGCATCACAGCAACCATGAGTTATCTCTGTACAGCAAATGGACAGATAAGTGCTACACCACTTAGAAGAATGTGTAGCTAAAAACAATTAGAATGTGCTAAACCTAACTTTTGTTGAACAGATGAGTGAAACACACACTACAGATTCTTTTTCGGTTAGAGCAATGAACCCACAAGTGCTGTGATTATCAAAATTTCTGCATAAAGAAAATGCATCAGGTAATACATTAAAGAACAAATTAATTCTATTTAAGCCAGAATTAAATTTTAAACAACTACTCGGAAATTCTAAGAGTAGAAATTCAGAGACTACTCCTCCCACCAACCATGTCCCAGAGAAGCAGCCAAGTTAATTCACTGGAGTGAGAAGCACATGAAGCTATACTACTCTTAAATTTTCAGTTAGTTAAGTTTTAGAAAATCTCTTATTTTCAAAATGAACACTGGAAATAATCTCCACTGACCTGCTTCAGTTCACTTCAAGTTTTAACTTTATTAAATAATCGTACACTAAATAAATATTAAGTGGAAATTTAATTTTTAATTAATATTAACATACTGTTTGACTTTCAGGAAACTCCATTTTCAGTAGTTTGTGAGCACATTCTTCAAAATCTAAACTGAGAAATAAAAATGGCAAAAAAATAGGATAAAAGCTTGCTGCATAACCTTAGCATTCTTTACTATACAGTAATCTTTAGTAATTCTTTTGAATATATTTTTAACTATACATCCCATTTTATCTTAAATGCAAAGAAAATGTAATTATTCACTATAATATAATTAAATAAAAATATAACTAAAAATTTGTACATACTACACACACGAGACAGTATGGAAATGTCCTAACCTCTTCTGAAGCAAACTGGCAAATTAATCAGTGCTATTATTCACTTGAACCAAGTGATATCCAAGGGATCTGCCACACTCCTAGCTGCTAGGCTACTTTCTAGAACAGTTTTTTACAAAAGTTTTAATCCCTACAACTGAATTTTAAGTTTATCAACAGATAACTGCATGTGTTCCCAAATCTACATGTATTATTATGCCTATTATGGAATAATTTAAATAATTTATTGAGCTAGGGGAAAAAATAGTATTTCTTTGGTAAGATAAAAAGATAAATTTTTATTAACTATAGGTAAATGGTATGTGAGCAAGTCACTCTTACAAAATTGGGGAGAAAGTAAAAATGTGAAAGTATTCAGTCTCTATTAGCAATTACAGATCACACTGTTAACAATTCTCTATTTCACACTTTCAATAGTGGTATAAATTGTTTATTTTAGTCAACTATGGCAGGTAATGCAGCTTTCTCAAAAAGAAAGTAACTTTTTTTCCCCTGGTAATAATTTTACATATAATATTACAAATACTTATTTCTTCAGAAAATAAAATTGGGGGTAGGAGGAGAAAAGAGTATAATGACATAGCTATGTAAGGCCCTTGAGTAAGCTTACAAAATTGCTTTCTCTAAGGAATGTGTAATTTAAATTTCTACCAATAATTACTCAGGTGAACCTCATGTCATCATTATTATTGGGCACCTGAGTTAAAAAACAAAAGAAAGTAAAAGAAACTACACTGGCAAATAATGGCACCTCTTTGAAAACAGTAATTTTGTTTTATGTTACTGTGTACTGTCAAATAACTGACCTCCCCCAATGGGTTTTCAGAGGTAGTAAATTGCATGAGAGGCAACTGCCCAACTTTCCTCACAGAGCAGGTGGTAGATTTGAACTGCATGCCTTTGGGATGGCAGGTTAACTCCTTACCACTAGGCCACCAGACCTCCCTAAGTTTGTTTGATAATCAACAATTTTAATTATGTGTTCTCATCCTATTACATGAATCCTCTATTTATATCCATTAAATAGCTTTCTATTGATGTACTATTTTGTCACATAAATTTATTTATTAGCAAATAGCACATAAATGTTAGTTATTGCAAGGATTGCTGCTGTTACGTAACAGTGCCTGTCACCTGTGTCTTAATGTTTTCATCTCTCATGTCTTTTTTAAAATTATGAAGGTTATTTCAATTTTAAAAAAGCTTCCTTTTATATAATGATTCAGAGCTTGACTAGAACTCTACAGTTAATGTTAACAGCAGTATTAAAATAGTGAATCTACTGCGTTTAAGTTATTGCTGCTGTATTAAGAAAGTTTGTATTAAAAAATTCACTTTCATGTGAAAAGTAAAGAAATAGCCAAGAATGATTCCGTTTTTCCAACCAATATTTTGCTATTTAACATTCCTCTACTTGAAAGGTGACTCTAAAGCCAAAAATTTCTCAGACAGAATGAAAAACAAGATGACTCTTACTTATGAATCATCACTGCTATTACATCATACTAAATGGAAATATACAAAACATAACTGAGAAAACATTTCTCCTTCAGTTTAAAATGTAAACTCCGTGCCTACTAACTCAACAGGATGAATCTTAAACAAAACAACAGATGCATTAAGCATTTAATATACTCATTTATTGATCTTTAAGACCAAACTTACAGTCTTCAAGGAAACAAGGTTTGTTGACTTGACATCATGGTAGTTCTTACTAAACATTACTCCAGGTGATCTTCAAGTAGTTCTTTAATTTCTTTTTTATTGATTTCTATCATATCAGGAAACCCACAACCAATATTTATTGTTATAGTACTTCCCTGCTTAGAACCAGAACTTGGAAAAACATTTCTATTATTCAATTAAATACTATTCTAACACTAGAATAAATGATAACAAATGGCAAAGGTAAAACATTAATAAAGAAACCTTCCAATTAACTTAAATAATAACTAGGAGGACACAGGATGATTTTATACAGGAGGAATCTATGTATTAACTCGAGCTTTGAATAGGGGTAAAGAAATAGCTCGATCTTCTCTGTAGTATTTATTCTGTCATCAAACTCTAAAACGCACCTTTACTTTACCTGGAAAAAAAAATAAATACAGGCCCAATAAGCTTATGGCGTCTTACCTGGACTGAATAGCAAGATAAATTGTGCGGCGAAATGAGACCAGATTAATTTCTGTTTTGTCATGAATAGTTACTTTTTGTCCTAGAAGAAATTAATCATAACAAAATTAAGATATTAAAACACAAATATTAAGAATGTAGTTCTATAAGATTTTCTTTTTCATAAAATTATTTACAATCAGAGTTTAATAAAGCTTCCTATTATGTAAATTAAGTATTTATTTATAAAATTCGGAGTAACTATTTCATTTCCTTAGTTCTATCTTAGGAGTATTTTATTATACTTTGGTCAAAGTCCAGAATCAAAACAGAAAAACTACATTATTCGTTAATTGGTATCATCTGGTCATTTAGAAGGTATAAAATACTGTATTCATACTGTTATTTGGGTAAAATATTTTTTCTAGAGTTACGTATCTTGAATATGCTGGTCACTTGTTATAAGTTGAATATCTTGGTTACTTGAAAGAATTTATAAGTAAAAATTAACTTTAGAGAACATCTGATTATCATGACAGTGGGGACAGGTTTAACAGAACCAACTATTTAATAATGTTTACTTGAATAGTGTTTCTACATAAAGAACAAATTCTAAAGTAAATTCAGCACATGGCTAATTAAAAGATGTACAAAATAAAGACAACTCTAAAGTGGTGTTACAATCTCTCTAGGACTGCTAAACAAAAGAGCGAGTCTCTGTTGGCTTCAGCCCACTATCAGCTACAGATACAGGGGCTGCTTTGAATTGGAAGCAACTTGATGGCAGTTGAATATAAGTTTTGAAACTTATTTTTGGAAATGTTACAGAAGACTCATTACAATCTAAGAAGAGAACAAAAATACATCTCTTAAAAGGGGAAAAAAAACATATTTTCAATGTTTTCAAATATTTAATATTTGTGTTACAAAGTCAAGTTCTGAGCTTATTTTTCTGTTGAATAATGCAACCAACTGAAAAGGAAGAAAATCAAGTCTCAGTCTGTATAAATTAAGCTTTTGGCCTCCCCACTCTATTTTGCCATAATGAATAGCAAATATTTAGTCATTATCATGCATCACATTTTACCAGAGTTACATTAATCATATGTACTCAACAGGGATGCACTTTCATTGGTTTACAATATTATAAAAGTCATAAAAGGCCAAATTAAAATTATGCTAATGTTAAAAATAAATTTTCTAATACTTTTATGATAAAATTTTTTAAATGTGGCAATACAGACATTCTTTGTTGCAGGATGTAGTCTAGTGACCTGCAGCATGTTTAATAGCATCCTTTACCCTCTAGGTGTGAGCAGCATTTTCCTCCAGCTGTGAAAAACCAAAAATGTCTCCAGCAGTTGCCAAATAACCCCAGGTAGAAGGGCAAAATTTCCCTCTATGAAGAGAATAACATCAGAACTAGAGTGTTTCATGGTATTATCTGAAGAAGCTGCACCTTTACCTTCATCATCTTCTTCTCCCTCTTCCTCTTCATCTTCCTCTTCTTCGTCACTACTTCCAGCATCCTGATCTGTGTTTGAGTCACTGTCTCCTTCATCAAGAATTTCTATAAGAACAGAGTACGTTTTGGGCGAAACAATTAGTGACTTATACAAATGTATCTTATTCTGAAGAAATAATTCTCAGGTTGTTGATATCTACAGTAGTATAGTAACTGTATCAAACAAAAAAAAGATTACCATATAGGCTTTGTGTCATCAGAAAGCATTACAGATTGAGTAGACAGTGTTAAGTGTTTTTCTTGTGCCAGATAAAAATGGCCATGAAATAAACAGATGATGGGGAGGAAAAGGAAAATATGGATTTAAAAAAAAAAAAAAGAGGAGGACTGGAAAAATAGATTGAATTTATTTTTATTTAAAATAAAGTTTAAAGGTTAATCCATTTCTAGGGAAAGTCTATTTTCTTGCAAGTAGTATAAACGAGAAGCTACACATAGTATTTAATGGTAGCAGAAAACTTGATAATAGAAGAACAAATAATTTTGCAAAATTAGAGTTGCCATCTTTATATGATCTGAAGACTACAAATCTGACTTTGAGAAGCAATGTGATTACATAGTAATTAATGCTGTAAAACAAAATGTGCATGGATCAATGATTAAAAAGAAAATAATGACGTTTTGAAACTTTCAATGAAACTACAATTTTTTTTAAAAGTAGTGCACAACACCTACTTTATCTCTATACATTATGGCTTAGACAGACTTTTAAAAAGAGGAAACTATTTAGTATTCAATAGTGGGGAGAGAGGTACTACTCCTGCTGTTTTCCCAAATGCTGTAAGACAAAAAACACAAGTACACCTGGGTCACTCTACGGCGCTAATTACTAAAGCTGTGCTGCCTTCCTGCAGTGATCATATTTTTATGCCAGCTTTAGAACATTTTATGAAAGAATGAAGGTCAAATGAATTATCTAATCGCTTACATCATCCTCCCATCTTTCCACTTTAGAATTGACTTACTGAAACCCCTGAGGCCATGGCAATTGGATTTTATGAACTGACTGAATAAAGTGATGATTTTCAAAGTATGGTCTATAGATTCTTGAGGTGGAGTCAGGTGATCTGTGAGGTCAAAACTATTTTCATAATAATGTGAAGACATTATTGACTTTCTGAATGTGCTGACATTTGCAATGATGGTTAAAAAGCAATAGAGTTTTACAACTACTGCATCTGTAGCACAAGTTCAGCCAGTCTGCACTCAGAGGCACTGTATTTTCACTGTTACATTCTTGCGGGGAAAAAACACTGCTAGCTTCAGTTTTTCTTTTACACTGTCTTTCTTAGGCTTTATTTATTGCAAAGCTTTCTTAGTGAACCGATTTATCCTGATACTTTTCTTAATAAAATTTTCCTTTTATATGCTAGCTTCATTTTAAAATGTCATTAGTAATGTCAGCTCCTTTAATATGTTTAATATGTTCTGAGTGATAAAATATAAAGTTCATAAATAGCAATCTATTAAAGACAGACGTATGACTGTGATAATCATCTCAAGGAAAAGCATTTGTGATTGGGTTAAGAGATGGATTAGTTGCGTTTTATGTTTTTGCTTGAAAGATTAGCTTACACAGTGGTTATGAAGCATTTTGAAAAGATTTTCTCAAATATAAACAAAGCGAGCCTGTCACTTCCAAGAAAACAATCGAGTATTTGTCACCCTGAGAAAATCAAAATAGTCAAAAGGAAATGACAATTTTCAAACATTTATACCCATTAATGTAAGCCTGCCTTTTTTCCCAATACTGAAGAGATCTAGTGGTAGTCTTAGTCAACGTGATTTTTCAAAATTGTAGAAATATTTATCAGTATTTTGAAGCTCAGTGAATCAGTAATTTTTAAATGGTCAGCTTAAACTGCTACAAAATCATGCATATGTGAAATATCTTCAAGGAAATGCCATTAAAAAGAGGAAAAAAAGTTCATGGATGGTATCTCAGATTTCAATACCAATTAATCGTTAAGAACTTACCAATTAGTGGATATTGTCCTAGTATGGAGGAAGAATATTAAAACTACATAACAAATCTGTAGATACTCATGTTATTTTCATAGAAACATCTAATGTTTCCTTATGAATCAGGGTGAAGTCTCTCTCAGGGAGCAGTGATAGGGAATGGCAAAAGACACACTGACAAAGGAGATTAATCAGAACTGGCTTTGAAAGCACTGTGGCAATTGGATAATTAAAACAGACTTTCAAGGGGGGAAAAAAAAGACGAACTGGGGAGGAAGGTAGAGAAAATAGTGCAACAATGAATGAATGGAAACCCAAAATCTCTGTAAATGTTCATTAAAATCAATAAAATTTAATAAAAAACCAAAAAATCTAATGTTAATATTTAACTGGTTTATGGTCATTATTTTGTATGAATTCATTGGCTAAATTCTTAATTTTGTTAGTGAAACACTCCCAGAAAATTATTATCTAAAAAGATGATCTGGGGCTTCTTAAAATATTACCTTGTACTTAAACATACCACTCCTAAGAATGACTAAAGAATGGATACGAATAATAAAGTAGAACTGTGGTATTATCAGAACTCAGAGAAAATAAACCAATTTTACTGCAGAAGTGGTAATGAATTTTATTTAATTAAAAATTATACAAATGTGAAAATAATAGCTATTATTGTCTCAACAATATATGAGAGTATTAAGATCTTTATTTTTCATATCTGAAAAAACATTTATCCCTGTATCAAAAAAGTCACTTGCGCCACGTCACTTAGCTAGCAATTACAAAGGTAAAAACACAAGGCCAAGTCTAACCAATGCACCGCTTTTGATTTACTCTCTCCCTCTCTCACTGCCATCAAGACAGAACCGACTCCTGGCTGACCCTCCAGCAAGCTTTCTAAGGCTATAAATTGCACATGACTTGATTACCCAGCTTTCCTCCACGGAGCTACTATTGGATGTGAACTGCCAGAGAACCTCTGGTTTAGTTAGCAGTATAACAATAATTAACCACTTTACCATTTATTAGGTATCAACACTATGGCTAGAGAGTACCTGCTTAGGGTAAGGAGTGGTGCTGCTAACCCAAAATCACATGGTTCAAATCCACCAGCTTCTCTGTGGGAGAAAGAAGGGCAATCTCTGCTCATGCTACTTACTGCCTTTAAAAATCCACTGGGAGGATAGCTATGGGTCGGTTCTGACGCAACAGTACAAAACAACAATAATAACACTAAAGCTAGTATGGTAACTGAGACATCAAAAGGAAAAGGGGCTATATATAACCTGTCTTCAAGAAATAATAAAAACAGTATTTAACTGTATATGAAACCAAGTGGCAGAGATTCTATCTAAGTGGCAGCAACGTGTGATAAAGAGAGTTCTGGTGGTAAAGAAGATAGGTTCTTGTATAGCTAAGCCAAAGACTGCCTCTCAGGCAGTTTAAATCCACCAGTGGCCAGAGGAGAAAGATGGGACAGCACTGGAAACCCAGAGAGGGCCCTCTGTAAGTCAATTCCAACTTGAGGGCAGTGAGAGACTAAGCTATCAAAAGTAAAAAGAAAGAACTATACATAAAATGCACCTTCCAGAAATAATCCAGTATAACATTTAATTATATATGAAACCAAGCGGTAGAAACAATATGTGGTCAGAGGTGTTTAACAAAGTATGAGTAATCTAAGTATTTCTTAAGAGCGGTGAAATGTCTATGCTGCAGACAATGCAAATGAAGGAAAAGAAGAAAAAGTGAGAGAAACAGTTTGAAAGGAGGTTATCACATTAAGTGAGCACCACAAAGAGAAATAATGCATTAGAAAACAGTGAAAAGTTTCAGAAGAACAAAGATTTCTTTGTATGGGAATACCTGATTTATAAATAGTTCCTCTTTAAGTATTTATGTAACTATCAAAACTTCTATTAATAAAAATTCCCTTGTAGAAATTTTTTTCTAGAAAAAAATTGTACATACCCTTCTTAATGGCTTTGTATTTTTCTTCATTCTCCAAAAAGTTAGGATCCATCTTGAAGACATCTTTAAAAATAGAAAGTAAAAATTGTTTATTTTATATATTGATATTTGTTGGCACCCCCCACACCCCAGCCCTGCCCCAGACTGACTAAGAACATCTTCTGGATTGTAGTCATCCTCCAGAGGGAGCATGTGGGTGAACTGATCATCTTCCTCCACGAGGTCAAGTCCGTCCAAGATAACAGGGTGATCCTTGAATCCATCCTTTCGCACTGCAAACATCACCTCAATCATATACTGAACTCTTTTGTCAATTTCAGACTCATGGAGAATGTTTCGAAGTCGTTCAAATATAGCTAAAGTTAAATGGAAAAAGGGAATAAAATAAGTAATAGAGTATTAATAATACATAATAAAAAGCTCAATATCAACGCAAGGAGCAACTCACCATTAATGCCCCGCGGCGATACTTCTGTTAATTTGAGGCCACATTCCTTGAGAAAACCAATAGCTACTTCCACACTGTCATCTGTTGGTCTTTCCAGGAGCAAAGTGAGCATCTCTAAGCATAAAACTTCATGTGCCTTGAAGAGGATGTAGTCATTTGAAAGACAAAACATACTTTTAGACACACCAAGTTCTACTATTCACTACACTATGACTACATAAAACATATCATCAACTACAACTATTACTATCAATTATAACTAGTTAATAGTAATTTTAGTCAATCTGTGCACTGCATGGATAATATTGCATAAATGATGATAAATACTTTATGATATAGTCAATACTCCAAATACAGGAAACAATTTTTCTTTCACTTTAACTATCCAATATTTCCAGGTATCCACCTGAAATTGTAATTTGCTCTACAGAATATAACTACTGACATTATGCCACAATTACTCTTAAACATTATATACAAGAAATGCCATATTTAACCACAAAATACAAAATTAAATACCAAGTTTTAATCTGAGATAAGAGTTATTTTCATAACCACTATGTGAGGAACAGTAATAATCTTCTTTCCACAACCACAATTCTTTATTCCACTTCCCAAACTATTCACTCAACTACCCTGTTGGGTAGCAAACAGTTCTCAAGTTACATGATAATAATCTTACCAGAAACTATTTTCACAAATTACTGTCATGAATACTTTTTTAAAAAATCAAATAAAGAACCTCATCAACTTAAAAACTAATTTTTATAAGCAATGCCAAGTTGTGTATGAATATATTCTGAAAAGCTTTGCTGTATAAGTAAAATGAGTTGGAAGACATATTGAGTTGGAAGACATATTTAAGTTCCCCACATATGCTTTTCTAAAGCCAGTTACTTCTTAGAAATGAGGAAGAAAGAACTTTAAGTATCAATTCAAAAGAACTTTCTTTTTACACTGAACATAAAACACAGTGAGGAGGTCAAAGTCTTACATCTATGACAAAAAAAAAAAAATCTGCGCCATCCACAGGTGAGAAGAGCCACGTATTTCTCATTTTAATTATTTCCTGGAAATACCAAAAATATTTCACACCTAAGTGTAATCTAAAATTAAAAATGGAAATGTGTTCACATGTTGAAGACTTATGAAAGTAAGTTGCCATTACTGTACTAATATGATACTGTAACAGGTTAAGATCCAAAGGTTCTCTAAGAGTGACTAATACAATGAATCTTAGGTTAGGTAAGATTTTAAATGTTTTCTTTTAGTATCAAATGGAGCTCTAGTGGCACAATGCATACAGAGTTGCCCAGCTAACTCAAGGCTGTGTGGTTCGAATCCAGCTGCTTTCCAGGAGAAAGATGCGTAATCTCCCTTGTGAAAACTCAAGGGAACTAGGAGAAGGAACTTGACAATGAGTTGAACTTGAGTATCAAAAAACACTAATTGCTTTTATTACAGTTTTAAAACTAAAATACTGTCTAAACATTTAACTCAAACATTACGTATCAAAATAGAAAATGAGATGTTACTGAAGTGGTACTGAGTCTATCGTCTAATGCAACTGCACAGGACCAGGTACTGTAAACAGCAACTTACCACATTCTGATTAATAAGATGAGCCACAAATTTTGATGAAGTCAGACAAAGTTGCTGAAAGTGAAGATGAAGACAAAGTTAATCTCTGAACTAAAAGTAACTTTCACATTTCTAGTAAACCTAAATTCAATATTCTACTTAAATCTGTAATACAAAAAGCTAATTTTTAGGAAAGTTGTAAAATAAAAACAAGTACTTGTAAGAGAGTGCCATTTCTGGCTAAAATTCAGTAATTATAGGAATCATATTTTGTGGTCAGGAATATTTTAACAGAACCAAAAAGTCCTCTTCACATATGCTATTTAAATTAAAAACTTAATTTAAAAAACTGACTTTTTTGCACAATTCCACATTGCTTACTTTATTGATGAGAACTCTGGTGGCCAGTGTGTGCTGGCAACCCAAAGGCACATAGTTTGAATGCACCAGTGCTCCACAATTTATAGCTTCTGAAAATACACTGAAGGGGCGGGTGGGAACAAGCTCTGACTCAACAGGAATGAGTTTTGAGTTTTATTATTGATATAGGTGTGTTGGTATGTCCCTATGTGGAAGCCTACATTTAAATCCATCATACATACCTTATCATTTCTTCGATAACCTTTACGGAAATTAAGAATTAATCTCTTGAGAATTAATTCTCCAATCTGAGGAAATTTTGAGTTGATGATTGCAACTAGTGCTGCATAAACATGAGTAAAGATTGGAGAAGCACTCTGTGCTTGGAGAACAGACCTAGAAAGTAGTCCTCTGTTTACAAAAAGGAAAAAAGAGATAAAAATAAATAACAATAAATGGCAAATTAAAAGACAATAAAATGCCATTGAACACTCATTAATCCTAAATCAAAATTAAGTTTTCACTGCCTAGTTAAATAAATACTGTTTTTGAGGAAACAAAATTTTAATCTGTGCTCTTATAAAAGATTAAAATTTTACAAATTATTTCTTTTGAAATACAATTTCTTTTATCCTGGTTCTTTCTGTTGCATTTACTAATAAACTTGACTTTTAAAAACTTCTTAGAAATAATTTAACATTTTCAAAAGTAAAGGACGGAAAAGACTTCTTTTGAAGTATGTTTATAGAATGTTTAAAGAATATTTTTAGTTTATTCTACTTTGTCTAAGATAATTTTAGGAATTCTTAAAGATTAATAATGTATAATGAATAACAAAACATTGTTAATATTTTTAATTCTAAAAATATCCCTAAGGATATTCAACTAGCATTCAAAGGATATCACCATAATTATTAAACTTTAGGGCATGACAAGTACAGAATTTCCCATGTTTCATTCCAAGGACCTATGGCAGAGAGCTGTTAATAGTATGTTTCAGAATTAAATAAATTTGGAATATAAGGAGCTTTCGTGGTCCAATGGCAAGAAGCTGTGCTGCAATCCCAAAGGCACACAGTTCAAGGCTACCAGCTTCTCCTCAGGAGGATAGGCAGTCTCCTCCAGTGGGTCAGCTATGGGTTGGTTCTGACTTTATGGTACACAACCACAACCACCACCACCACCTTATAAAAACAAACTTCTTCAGAAGCATGATGTCACTGGTATATTAAAATGTATGAGACAACAAGGAACCAGGATGATTTTACTTTAGAGCTTCTAAAATGCAGATCCCCCTCCCCCTTTAAACCAAAGATATTAACACAAAGATATTGAAAATACTGCTTTAAGTTAGTAAATATGTATTAAAAGAAAATAAGTTTTGATCCATAAAAAATAAGTAAGAAATTATATTTAGGCAAGTTAACATTTAAAAACATGTAGAAAAATGTTCAATATTCTACCCTTGGTGATTTTCAGGACTGAAAATTAGCCATTGCCTCTGCTGGCCTGTTCTGAATTTTATTACACAATTTATGCTCATGAAAAGGCCTAAAAAAATTAATCTGAAACACAAAGTCTAGGTTAAGGGTGTTAAAATATAAATTTGTACTTTATAATGGGTAATGACAAAATAAATGTATTTTCATGAAAAAAGGTAACTTCTCCCCTCAGAGGCACTGTAATTTAATGGGAGCTAAAATCACAGAATTAAGAAGTGGGTGCACCTGTGGGTCATAAGTCTACAATTTGTAATGCCTTACACAAATCATGTACTTTCTCTAAATCTGCTTCTAAATGAAATGGAGGAAACTCAATCTACCTTAATGGAGAGGGAACCCCTTTTGGTCAACTTTCTAATGTGAAATTAGATGAATAGATAAAGCAATGTGAAATGACATTTATTTATCAAACGATAGCATATTCCAAGAAGACTCATTGCTGTTATGATTCCAAATCACAGAAACCTGAAAGCTCAAGTAGTTGTTATGGGGTGTTCAAGGCAGAAGTTTCACAGCTGACCTTCCAGCGAGTTTTTAAAGGCTGTAAATCACACAGGAGGAGAATGCCTATCTTTCTACTATGGAGCAGTTGATGGATTTGAACCACATGCCTTTGGGTTTACACAATTCCTTACCAGTATGCCTTCACACCTCCCTTGGAAGCTAGGGTAGGGTGTCCAAAATTGTGATCTTTATGCAAGCAGATGTGCACAGACCTATGCCCTAGTTCATGGGTTCAAATTATCAACCTTTTGTTAGCAGCTGAGAGCTTAAACACTGTGCCAATAGGGCTCCAAATAGCATACAGGCAAGTTCTAGATTTTGACCCTTTAAACATTCTCAGTTAGTAAAACACATCCAGAAGATGGCATCTCTTCAGATTTTATAAAATTTAATGATGATAAATTCTGTTTTCATATTCTCATTTTGCTTTCATTAGAAACTAAATTGCTTTAAAGCAGCTCTTGGTTTTGTTTCTTCTCTACATATGTTTATTATCAATTATTCTTCATGGTTCTAAATTATTTGAGACATTAAGTAAACAAATGTCTATATAAAATTCATTATGTGGTATCAAAGCTTACTGAAAAGCAAAAGTTCCACCCAACCTCAACTGTCAGATCCCAGTTATTTGTTAGTGGCTTATATTTTTCTAAGAATTATGTTTTAAACATTCTTAATTACCTTTGAAATGAAGCATCACAAGAAATTTTTATTGCTCAGATAATTACATTTTTTAAAAATAATACTATGAACTATGCCAAATAAAACAACTGATGCTTACCTTCCTCGAACTATATTTTCTGCAAGAAGTTCTTGAATAATAATACCTATATTAGAAATGTTGACTTTATTGATGAGACCATTGATTGACTTTTTCAGTGCCTCCCAGCTCATCCTCTGGTACGCTAAGCTAAAAAAATTTTAATTTCCAAAAAATAAAATTTAATCAAAACTTAAAACTGCAAGAGGTTTATATGTAGTAAGAACATTTAAAAAGTACTTAATGTTTTTAATTTTAACATCATTTCCACAATAAAAATTACCCAAAAGTACGAGTATAGCAAAGAGATTACATCCTAAGCCATAGTCAGCTTTCTGCATATATATGATGCTGAAGGTACAGAACACCTGTTCTTAATAATATGAAATAATTGAATAAAGCCAAAAAAGGGGGCTGTTTTTAATGTCTACTATAAAAATGTGATAGAGACAGCAAAGTAAAATGTCTTAAACTTACAAAGGAATGGTAATAAATACAGGAAAAGAAATGGATTCATGGAGCTGAAAGAGTTCTCTACATTTTATAGATAACATTTCCACATTTAAGCAGTAACCCCAAAGTTACAACGGCTGACTGTTAAATAACTAGAATATCTGTCTGGTTTTCTCCTAATAATCCTACATTTACTTTAAATAAAGTTTGCTGCCAAGTTTAATTTTGGATTTATACTATTAATAGTATTCTTCATTCTTTATAGAAAAAAAATACCAATAAGGCATACAAGCTGTAAGAAACAACAGTCTGAAAATTATCTTAAAAGGAGTATTTTCTTCAACCTTATTCATTTGTCACAAGAAATAAAGGCAAAAATGCAAACTTCAGTGGAGCTTATGGACAGAGTAGTCTCTAGTTTGAGGTTTCTGTTCTTATAAAATGATACATATTTTCAACATCCAAGGGTAATTAGCTCAAAGATGATTTTCCTTTTACAAACAGGGCATCATTATTTTGTACACAAGTAGTCCCTCACTTAATGATGCTTTGAGTTATAAACTTTATTTACAACTATTTTTGGGGTACATTTTATCCTTAGTTAATAGGTACTACATGCAATGTGACAGTGCAACAAAATATGCTAAAGATATCACTCTCAGAAGTTCATGTGGAGTTGTTCAATGTTATGATTTATAGAGACCCTTTTATTTAAAAGGCTGTAGCAAGGAAAACCACTAAAAAAGGTACTTCAATTTTTGTCAGAACTGACTAAAGATGGAGTCATCGGAACAGATCCCAGTCATAAATCAGGAACATGTACTTTGTTATTAACAACATACCTGCTTTTATCTGTAATTTGTTCTTGCATCATCCTGAGCTTTGCAGGAGGAATATATGCTCCACCAGTGCGTGTAAGCAGAGGATCAAGTTCATCTTTCTTCTTCTTTGTAGCAGGCTCATCCTGAGCCGAGGAACTCTGGGTTGCAAATGGTTCTGGACTTCTTCTCCCAGGAGATGGCGATCTCCGGGACCTTTTCCGATCTGTGTCTCTTTCTCTTTCTCTGTGCTTTTCTCGGTCCCGACTCCTGGAATGTCAATTTATTTAAATGCAAAAAAAAACCCCAACAAAACAAAAAAACAACAAAAACCCCCAATATAAATACATTCTTACAATGAACCGCACATGAATTAAATGAGTAGAAGCCCACAAATCCAGACTAGGAAAAGTGGTTTAGACCAGTGAGGAAGTATTCAAGGAAAAATGTAACTTAACTTAGGTCTTGAAGGTTTCATGGTGGTGCAGTCATGAAGCACTATACTGTTAGCCAAAAAGTTGATGGCTGGAATATACTACACACTCGACAAGAGAAAGATGTGGCAATTTGCTCCCTTGAAGATTACAGCTTTGAAAATCCAACACTTAGTTCTATTCTGTCACACGGAGTCACCATGAGATGGAATCAACTCAGCAGCTACAGATTTGGTTTAAAGGTTTCAAATGATTTAGTGTGGGGAGAGGGGAAGGATGTAATGAAGACAATGTATTCTGAAAGTGTATTCTGTAACTAGAAGCAACTAGGTTAAAAAAAAAAAAAGGAGGGGTGGAGAAGAAGTGTTCAGGCAACAAAGAATAGCAGCAGCAGGTCATCAAGTCAATGAAACGCTTTGTGATCCTGTGTGACATGGAAGAACGGATGCAATGGGGTCTTTAGGCTTTGTCTTCACAGAAGCAGATTCCCAGGTCTGTCTTCTGTGGAGCCATCGGGTGGGTCTGATCTATCAAGCTTTTGGTTAGATACTGAGCTATTTGACAATCTGCAACCGGGGCTCCTCAGAATGAGAAGAAAATTCAGGAAACAGTAAATAGTCATATATTATGGTAGTCAGAAAAAGGAATTGGAGTCAGATTTTGAACTCTTACATAAACATCAGAATGCGAAAGTATATATGTAGTCTTGGTTGTCAATGGAGGACCAAAATCCTGAAGACACTGAAAAGGATACAAAGCTTGGGGAACAAAGAGAATACAAGAGACAATTTTTTTTTTAAATCTAGATGACTGATGAGAGACAAACAGGAAAATCAGGAGAAAGCTAATCTGATGAAGATGACAAATGTAGCTTAAGGTATCTCTGAAGGAGTAAGGCAGAAGGGTGCTAAGAACTTGTAAATAGAACTTGGAAAAAGTTGATGAGTGTACTTCATGAAATACTTAAACAACAAAATTTGTTAGTTTTAGCAGATAGCAACACTGGGACATTAGGATTCCTTTCACTGATTTCTAGACACTAAATAATATGCCACTGATATATTTCTCTTCAAATTAATGTGTTTAAGAAACATTAAAAATAGAGGGGCTTTTGGGTCCCTACATGGAACAAATGTTTCTCAATTGCTGTTGTTATATATTATCAAGTCACTCATGATTCCTAGTGACTATGTTATTAACCTACAAATTAGCAGTCAAATCCACCATGTGGTGTAGTGGAAGGAAGACGTGGTGATCTAGTAAGACTATGGAGCTGGTTATCATCAAGTTGATTCCCAGGTGTTGTGTAGTCCTGTTACCAGGAGGACCAGATAAGAAGTCAATTTCACCAAGAATCAAGAAACATTTTTATTTAGAATAAAACCCCACAAAAGTAACACTATTTATGGTGTCTTTCTCATATTATACAAGAAAGTAAATTTAAATAATTTTCTACCATAATTTATTTTTTTAATTCAGCAAAGCATCTCAAATTAGCATAAAGGTCAACCTTTACTATATGATAGTATAAAGAATAAAAGCTTGAACTTCAGAGTCAGACAGACCTGCCACATAGTGCATAAATATGACAGATTACTCAATTTCTCTAGGCCTCAACTTTCTAGCTGTAAAATAGATTAAAACAGTACTTATTTCATATATGTATTATAATTAAGAAATTAATGCACATGAAACCTATATTAGATAGCCTGGCACCTAAGAGCATTCAATAAAAGCTGGCTGCTAGTATTATTTACTTTTTATTATAAACCATAAAGAAGATGTAAACATAAAATTTTGCTATAGTAAAAATTTCCAGTACAAACCGTGACTCCATGCCACTATCATAAGAACGGTCTCGTCTTGAATGTTCATAGTCTGACCTGCTGTAATCAAAGTAATCTCTGTCCCTGGGGGATCTTTCTTGATCTGCATATCTAAAATAGAATAGGAAAACAAAAATTGTAAATTGGAAAAAACTGTGTTATATTAAGAAAGTCATATTCTGGTAATACTAAAAACACCTTCTGGTGAAACAACTTCTTGTGAAAACTGTCTTAACTGTTCTCAATACCCAGCTGAATTTGCTGATACATTTATTCAATCGTTTAGGCAAAATGAAACAATTCCTGAAATTCACATAACCAACCTCACTTTTCCTGATTCATACTGACCTTTATAGAAGACACAAAAGAAATATGTTATAATACTGTCCTGCAAGGAAGTTCCTTTGTTGTTCATTTAATTGGATGACTACACCAGAGACCAATGCCACTGGGTGACCTCTCTAAGTATTAGCTTTACTCCAGCCCCAAAGACTACATTCATCAAATGTTATTTTTGAATCGGCACTACTGTATAGCAATGAGAATAGATTTAAACTATCGAAACACAGGCAGACAGTACAACACCTGTTATTTAAATCTTAAAATTCAGTAAAATCAGGGCTGCAACTCTGAAGGTGTGCAGTTCAAATCCACCAGCTGCTCCACAGAAGAAAGATGTGCTCTTACCTTGCAACTTACTGCCTCTGAAAACCTGCCTGAGGTCAGTTAGGAGTCAGTTTCTAGTTGACAGTACAAGAAATATGCACTTAATATCTATACATTAGTATGAGAGTAATTAATATATATATGCATTAATCATATATGTATATAAATTAACTATTAACTACACACAAACATGTACACAGATATATTTTTAGTATAAGGAGTAGATGACTGGTGAAGTGAAGTAAGCAGAATTGAATAATAATTAACAGGATAACTATGAAGCAGAGGTTTTTGGAGATGTAGAAAAGTTGAAGAAGAAAGTAAAGACAAAAATAAAAGAAAAACCAGAAAACTGAAAGCAATTCAGGAAATTATTTCCTCCTTTTATAAATCATTTCTAATGATCATGAGCAAAGTCCTGATATGAATGCCTGATGTACATCAATTTTTGGGTCTTTGATCTGAACATAATTTTGGTAAATTACATAATGCATGTAAAAGATTTCCTAAATAAAACGCTGTGTAAATGTAGGACACCAGTAATAGCAGTAGTATTTAAAATCATGTAATGTTTTTATCAAAGAGCTCTGGTGCTGTAGTGCTTTACATGTTCCACTGCTAACTGAATAATTCAAATCCACTAGCCATTCAGCAAGATAAAGATTCAGAGCCTCCAGGAACTCAGGGTCACTATGAGTCGGAATGAACTCTATGGTGGTGGCTTTCTATTTTATTAACTTGAACTATTTTTAGTATTTAAGCTATAAAATCATCCCCTACCACCTAAAATGTTACATCAGATCCAAAATCATTTACTAGAAGCCCTCAAAATGTGTTTCAAGATGGATTCTCCCCATTGTTTTTTGATGCTATCAAGTCAGTTCCAACTCAACAGTGATTCTATGCACAACAGAAGAAGAAACTGTCTGGTTAGCGCTGTACTCTAAATTATTGCTATGTTTTAGCCCATTGTTACAGCACCTGTAGATTCCTTCTTCAACTAATTAAAGTTATACAAAAGCACATACAAAAGAAAAGAAGCTGAGTTGTTTATCCTATAAAGAAGACTTAACAGCTTATTTGTTCCAGTTATTATAAAAGCTTTCAATTGTATTCGGAACATATAAAATTGTTTACCTGTCTTCTGGTGAGGAGGTCCTCTGATGGGAATTAGAGTTTTCCCTTCTGTCATGACCAGAATACTTTTGAAAAGAAAGAGAAGAGCATGTGTTTTAAAACCGTTAAAAACATACAATGAATGTCTGGGGAAAATGGGGTACTTCAGAATTATGTACAAAAGATAAGGATAATTATATTAAATAGACAGTATAGGATAAAACAATTTTAAGATCAGGCAAGATAAATTGTTATGGCACTCATTTATTTTCACTGTGGACCAAATACTATTTCTAATAAAAAAAAGACAGAAGTTAATTAGATGCCCTCTAGTTTCTATTACATTCAAATGTAAAAAAAGCTATGAATTTGCATAGAATACTGATATTTTTAAACAGGTTCTCCTGTGAAAACCCAAATCAAGGGTTAAATGCCTGCTAGCATGAAGTTACATTTGAGTATTCTTAATTCTTAAAATGCTCCACATACCATCTATTTAATTTGGCTTAGGAAAACTATAATTTTAATACAGGTTATTAAATCTAGATTAAAACAAACAGCTAGAAAATAATTTATCTATTAAAGATAAATTCTTATAAAAACTCATTTCAACAAACAGTATTTGTATTTGATACACACAACACTAGGTAAAGAGACTTAAAGTACTACTGTTAAGATTTAAATCTTGACGTCAAATTCTCTGAAAAACAATATAAAAAAAGGATCTTTAATGTATCATGATAGAGATAAAAACAGTACAGTTTGGGAATGTATACTAGTTAAGAAATCAAAGATATTAAAGAAAACAAAATACATTAAGGAAACCAAATCAAATAAAGAAACCAAAATATTTATCTCTATAAATAAATATTTTATATATGTGGTCAATATTCCCACTATTAAGCTTTTTAAAATAATTAGAACAATTTTAATTAGCTTAAGAAAGAAAAATAAGAGCATGTTTACCAAAGGCAATCTTGAAATAAACGAAAACAAAAAAAATTAAATAATGAGTAATGTATTTTGTACATTTATATGCCTATCTACTTACTGGGAAACATATGCATTTAAAAATAGAAAATTATTCTGTAGAAGCATATGAACAAGCTCCAACTTCCTCTGACTTCATCACTACCTAATTAACAGTAGTTTTGAGCTAAATTACCACAACTGCCAAAAGAGTCCATAAATATGAGACATTTACCCCTACAAGAACCCAAGAAGAAAGGATTGGTGATTAACTTCTGGGGGAAAAAACTCAGCCCTTAAAGCTCCTATAGCACAAATCTATTCTGTTACACAAGTAGGAGTCAATCTGATGCCAATTGATGGTGATGATTCTTAAACTAGATTATATAGTATATAAACATGTAATCAAAATTTATAATTTAAAGTAGTCATACCTTGGCTATTTACACTAAATGAAACTACCTTAAAATATTTTTCTAATGTGCCAAAATTTTAAGAACTATTTTAGTCTGTACATAGGGAGTTGTGCTGCTAACCCAAAAGCCATGCCTTTCTGGTGGTTTGAATACATGAGCAGCTCTTCTGGAGCTAGATGGGCAGTCTCTTCCTATGCAAGTTAAAGCCTCAGAAACCCAAAGAAATAGCAGCTATCAGTTAGTTTAAACTCAACAGCAATGAATGAAGGAGAAATGTTCAATATATATGATGCTGTTATGTGCCATCAAGTAGCCTGTGACCCACAGTGACCCTATGTGTACACCTCTGAAGCCTGCCCGGTCCAGAGCCAGTCTCACTGATTCCGATATACCTAGCACCATTGCCCCAGTTACTATATCATATATCAACCTATCTATCTCATCCAGGGGTTTCCTCTCCTAGCCTGTACCTCCACCTTTCCAAGCACAATATCCTTCTCTTAGGATTGGTCTTTCCCAGCCACATATCCAAAGTATGTGAGACGGAGCTTCAAAATCCTAGCCTCCAAGGAGAAACTTGGTTTCATCCTCTCAGACTTACTTGTTTCTTGGTGGTCCACATATATTCAAACTTCTCTAGCACCACAACTCAAAGGCATTGATTCTTCTGCCATCCTTAGTCATTTTCCAGCTCTCAGACACAAAGCAAGTAAATGCAAAGCTTGTATCAAGCATACCATCATCTCCAGACTGACATCGCTGCTGCTCAGTACACTGGAGAAGTCCCTGACAGAAGATTTTCCCACTGCAATTCGTCTTTTGATTTCCTGACTGCTAGTGCCAAGACTGTTGATTGTGGAGCCACACAAACTGTATTTACTAACAACCTCAAACTCTTTTCCATCTATCATGGTGCTGCCAATTGGCCCAGTGGTGAGAACCTTTGTCTTCTTGATGTTGAACTTCAATCCATATTGTAGACTATACTTCTTGACCTTCTGTAACAAGTGCTTCACTTCCGCCTCAGTTTCAGCAAGCAATATTGTGTCATTTACATAAGGTAGGTTGTTGATAAGTCTTCCTCAAATCCTGATACCACATTCCTCCTCATAAAGCCCAGCCTCCCGAATGATCTGTTCTGCATATAGATTGCAAAGATGTGGAGACAGGACACATCCCTGACACAGCCCTTTCCCAATTTTGAACCATGCAGTGTTTCCTTGCTCTGTTCTGAGGACTGCTTCTTAGTCTGACTACAGGTTTTCATGAGTACAAACAAGTGTTCTGGGATTTTTACTCTCCTAAAGTTAGAGGAAATCTCCATCAAGACCTGAAGTGCATATATGGAGCACAAGATTCATTTCAGGAAATCACTAACTTACATCATAATGTTGCTGTTGTTAGGTACGGTTGAGAAGAGTAAGACTTATAGTGACTCTATGAACAACAGATTTGAACCCTGGCCACCCTCCCACTTCCTCACACATTAGAGTCCATAGTAGCAGTCACTGTGTCAATCCACCTGGCTAAGAGTCTTCCGCTCCCTTGATTACCTTTCCAAACATGGTGTCCCTCTCCGAAGAATAGCCCCTACAAGCAACATGCCTGAAGTATGTGAGATGAAGATTTTTCATCTTCGACTCCAAGAAGCACTCTGGTTGCTCTTTCTTCAAGACATATTTGTTTGTTCTTTTGGCAGTCCATGGGGTATTATTTGGTACTTTTCTCCAACACCACAGCTCAAAGGAATCAATCGATTATTCTTCTGTCATTTTTATTCATTGTCATATACGTATTTTCATATTTTCACGTATGTAACAAGTGATGAGAAAGACCGTGGCCTTAATCAAACACACCTTAGTCCTCAAACTGACATCACTGCTCCTCAATATGAAGCAGTTTCTGGCTGCAGACTTACCCAGTGCAGCATGTCTCTTGGTTTCCTGACTGCTGGTACCAATGGTGTTAACTGTGGATCCAAGTAAGACGATGCTGTTGACAGTTTCAATCTTTTTTCCCCATCTATCATAATGTTGCCTATCAGTCCAGAGGTAAGAATTATTGTTTTCTTGATGTCATGCAATTAATATTGAAGGCTGTATTCACTGATTTTCTGTAGCAAGTGTTTCAAGTCCTCTTCACTTTCAGCAAGCAAGGCTGTGTTATCTGCACAGGTTCCAGCTTCTCATACAATTTGCTCAGCATACAGACTGACTAGGTTTGGAGAGAGGATACAACCCTGACACACACCTCTCCTAATTTTAAACAAGCCGCATTCCCTGGCTCTGTTCACACAACAGCCCCTTGGTCTAGGTGTAGGTTTGCATGAGTATAATTAAGTGTTCTAGATTTCCATTTTTCTCAATGTTAAGCCATAACTTGTTTTGATCCATAATCAAATGCCTTTACAGTCAATAAAGCATAAACAGACATTCTTCTGGTATTCTTTACTTTCAGCCAGGATCCATCTGACATTAGCAATGATATCCCTGGAGCCATGGCCTCTTCTAAATCCTGCTTGAACTTCTGGCAGTGCCCTATCATGAACTATCGAGATCCTGCACCGATATATCAAAACAGTTCCGCCGAGAGAAGGGACGAGGATTAGATGAAGACACAGAGAGCCTCCTCGTTGATCACGAATCCCTCCTTTTATTATCTCTAAAAAGGCTTATATAGGTTTCCGAAAAACACACCTGTAGGGGTAATCACATTATCTCATTTAGGTTTCCTTTCGAGATGGTTCTAGCCAAGATGGAATCAGTTCAGCTGGCTTTACAAGTGTAGTGCTAGTCTAGGCTTGCAAGTTAGCCAGGACTCTGACAATGAACTATTCTAGCAGCTTTCGAATGATCGTTAGCAGTATTTTGCTTGCATGTGATATTAACAATATTGTTTGATTATTTCTAGATCACCTTTCTTGGGAATGGGAACAAATATAGATCTCTTCCAATCAGTTGGCCAAATAGCTGTCCTCCAAATTTCCTGGCACAGAATGGTGAGTGTATCCAGGGCTGCATCTGTTGGTTGAAACATGTCAATCGGTATCCCGCTGATCCCAGGACCTAATTTTTTGCCAATTCCTTTAGCCTGTTTCAGCTTCTTCCTTCATTTCTAGTGAGTGGCTCCTGCTCATATGGAACCTCCTAAAATTTTAAAGTGTCAGTCAATTCTTTTTGGTACAGTGACTCTGTGTATCTATCTCTCCAACTTCTTTTGATGCCTCCTAGATCATTCAACATACTGCCCAAAACATTTCTCAATACTGAGACTCAATGCAATAGTTACTTGTTATTCATCATACTGATTCTAAGACATCAATTTTTCACATATACATATATACTCTGAAGGATACAAAAGACAGAAAAGACCTTCAAGGAACTTATAATCTTGCAGGAGAAGATATAACCATACATAGTCTTGTATGGTTATAATGATTTCCACATCTAAACAATTTCAGCTTTTATGTTCCTAAATAGAGTGACTACAATAAAGGTGAAGTGCCTACTTTTTCCTTTACAAGGCAATGCAATTATTTTGATTACATTAGGAAGAAGGCCTCAATTCTGTGCTAATGATTTTTAACACATCTCCGCAGCATCTGCTCTGAGCAAGAGGGAGAAACCAAAAATATTGAAGTCGTGAATCAGAAGAATTTTGCTAAATATCAAGTAACAAAATGACTGGCACAGATAACTGTTAAAATGATCTCAAGTAGAGAAGAATCATAATGACAAGGATACAGAGGGGAAAACTCTGGATAAAGGGAAGACGACTTAAATTGTGTTTTTGTAGATGAACAGGATCTCGCTAAGGTCAAAGTCATTTGGGTTGTGATTCAATTATTAACAGTTTGAATCTCTCTTCTTGTTCAGAGAGTTTAATTAATTGGTACAATAAGTATAGTCAAAATTTCCTTTAAAAAATCTCTATCTCTTAGGCAAAATAAACATGGTTTTGCATGTATAGTAACTGCACAGACAAGACTACACTATGCAAGTCACCTATGTAGGTAGTGTTTGACAGAAAGAGTGATGTGAGAAGATGAAGGGAGCAGGAAGTCTAACTTCAGAAGGGTAAGTATTCACCAGTCTCTAACAGCAAGGAAGAGATGGAACTAAAAGAGGTAAAGAGATTGCTTTTAGCTACCTAAGGTAGCTACGGTAAGGATAAAAGGGTAGGGGCACAAAAAATCCAAGAGATTCCTAAGTTACGTGCCCTTTGAAAACCAGGGGAAGATCTGAGCCTCTCCTGATGTGTAAATGAGCCTGAAAGCAGCTAATGAATGTACTTACAGCTAACAGAGTAAAGAGGAGGCAGGATAAAGTGAAGACTAGTTGAGAAGTCAGATCTGTCCTCTATAGGGGAAGTGAGTGAGATATAGTCTACTTGCTGGCACCTAACAACAACAAAAGCTTGGAAGTCAAGTCACCATGGTATGCTGACTAAAGTTACTACCTTTGAGGATGAGAGATGCCAGGGCCATAAGAGAGAAACCTAGAGAACTCGTTATGTATTGTCAAACTGAGTATGCCTCATAACGACCCTATGAACAACAGATCTGAATCTCTACCCTATCCTGCTCCCCCCTCATGAACTCTGTCAGGCCCAAGCCCATGGTTATAGTCGATGTCTCAATCCATCTTGCTGAAGGTCTTCCTTTCTCTCAGGATTAGTCAGTCCCTCCTAACAACCTGCCCCAAGTACATGCAATGAAGTTTCACCATCCTTGCCTATAAGAAGCCTTTGGTTACATTTCTTGAAAGACAGACTTGTTTGTTCTTTTGGCAGTTCAGTCTATTTAATACTCTTCTCCAACATTACATTTCAAAGGCAACCATTCGTCTTTTGTCTTCCTTTTTCATTGTTCAACATTAAGATGCACTTTAAGATGTACAGGAGGTAAATGAAAATACAACGGCTGTCACCAGGCATACCTTAGTTTTTAAAGTGACATGGAAATCTTAGTATTAATTAATCTTTACACAGACAAGAAATGCAGGAAGATGGCTATAGGGCAAACAAAACATTTCTTATTCCACATAAAAGATAACAGTCTAAATATATGCATGTTAATCTAACATGATTCAGTCGTAAGCTTAGTCCCACACAAGGTCTCCTTATTCTTTCTTTCCTACACAGAGTATGATACCTACTAAGGCCTCAGTAAGTTATCTATTTCCATGACATTGAACTAAAGAATAAAAAATGCTAAGAGGCAGATTTTAGAATATGTATGAAGGAAACAGTGAGCCTCCTCCCAAGAGATATGCAGATTGTGTATCTACTATACAGTAGACATTAGAAAAAAAAAAATGACAGAACTGCCTTAGAAAACAAAATTGCCTTAGAAAAAGGTTTATCCTTTAAGTCTTTAAAGCACTTATGACATGAGAAAATCTCAAAGGTCAGCTTAAGAAGACACAGCAAAGTACTATAATGAGATGTGCAAAGAGCCAGAGGTAGAAAATAAGAAGGAAAGAACACTTGGCATTTGTCAAATTGAAAATTACCAACAAATTTCAGTCTTGATTCTATAGGAAAAATTTTCACTGATACAAGAATCACCAAAAAAAGATGAAAGGAATACACAGAGTCACTGTACCAAAAAGAATGTTAAAATTATTCTCAGAAGTAGTATATAATCATGAAACAATGATACTGAGGAAAGATATTTAAGCTGCACTGTAGTTGAAATTTGCAAAAAGTAAGGCCCAAGGATTGATGAAATACAAACTGACAACTGGCATGCTCACTGGTCAATGCCAAAATATTTTAACAGGAATCAGTCCATATTTCTTTCTATTAAAAAAAAAGTGATCCAACAGAATGTGAAAGTTATAAAAAAAAAATTAGTATCACACGCAAGTAAAATCATGCTGAAGACTATTTAAAAAAAAGGAGGCACAGGATATGTAGGTAACTGCCAGAAATTCTAACTAGATTCAGAATAAGGCTTGGATGAAAGCCAAACGGTTTGTGTTTTACTGACTCTAGAAAGGCATTTGATTATGTTGATCATAACAAATTAGAGATAACATTTAAAAGAAACAGATTCCCAGAACAATTAATTGTGGTCATGTGAAATCTATACAGAGGCTAAGATGCAATTTCCAAATAAAACATGGGAATACTGCATGGTTTAAAATCAGGAAAGGTGTGTGTCAGAGTTAAATCTTTTCTACAATCCTCTTCAATCTGTATCTTGAACAAATCATTTGAGGATGAGCTAGACTCGATGAAGAAAAGTGTGGCATCAGGATTTGAGGAAGACTCATCAATAACTTGCATGCTGCAGATGATACAATCTTGTTTGCAGAAAGTGAAATGGACTTAAAACATGTGCTGCAAAACATCAAAGACTACAGCCTTAGGTATGGACTATAACTCAGTATCTAGAAAGCAAAAATCTCTATTACCAGACTAACAGGCAACATCATGAGAGACTGAAGTTGTCACCAACTTGACTTTATTTGGATCTAAATCAACATGCATGGTAAACAGCCATCAAGAAAGCAAAAGACATGTTTGCCTTGGGAAAATTGGCGTTCCTCGCCAAAGTGGTAAGGAGCCTGGATATCAGTTTAAAGACTAAGGTGCTCCTGACCCAAGTCAAGGTCTTTTCAATGACTTC